GAATTTCCTGCGTTCCACTCTGCTGCTCTGACTGTCTCAGCCAAAGGAACAATTTGCAGTTAGTTCAGCAAGAATTTACCTGTGAACACATCCATATCATCTCAGAAGTCCATTTTTTGTTTCTTTCCCCAGGAAAATAGTGATGTTCTTACTTGAGCTAGTTTTTTCACTTCCCTTGGGTGGCAGATGTGCCAGCAAAAGTCCTCAGCACCTTCCTGCCCTCAAAAGACCCCCATGTCTCTGATCTCATCCAGACTTCTTATGGCCAACGTGAGCCAGCCTGGGTAACAAGTCTGTGCCCACTTGGTTCTTATAAGAAAGGCTGATGAGAGGGGATAATAAAACCATAATACAACTATTCATGTCTGATAATCCTTATTAGATGGATTGACTTGATAAAGTTATATCATCAGCTCCCTGCAAAACACTCTCTCATGTTTTTCAGCAGCTTTTGCTGATAGGACTGCCAGCAGCTCATATCTCACACCTGCTTATGAAATAGGCAAAAAAATTTTGTCCTCATCATTACAATATTTTTTATTGAAAACCCTGATGCTTAGGGAAATTCAAACCCCACTTATTGTTGTAGGAAAAGCAGACTTGACTTGGTGAAGATTTTATTGTTAAAAATACCATCCCATCCCTTTTCCAGGCTCTCACATTCGGATGTAAGCTGACCCAGACCCAGGATCAAAAAAGTCACTAAAGAGCCAGTACAGAGAAGCCCTTCTGGTGTCACCCAAGCATGAGGGATGGCTGGAGGCAGAACACCTCCTCACAGAGGTCTGGCTGCCCCACCAAGGAAGCCAATGAGAAGCCCTTTGCCTGCACAGCTTGAGACTGCATGATGTCAGAAAAGACAAATGTCATAGGGGATCTCTCCTCCAAGATGCTGTGAAGACAAAGACAGCAGGGGAAGTATAGTGTAACCTCCCATCCACTCCTTTTACTCTGTGGAATCTTCAAAAGGCACATCTTACAGTGAAGGAAAACAGCATGAGAGTACCTCTGACAGGAGCTTTGTAAAGAGGTGTATCAGCTTCAGCTCACATTTCCATCCATTCCATCGAACAGCTCCGCTCCCTGCTGCTCCTCCTCTCCCAAAGGTTGAACCTGCAGTGCGTCACTGCTGTGGGGTGAATGCCCACCCATGACAGAGATCTCCCAGCCTGTCTGCAAGCATCACCTCAGAGACACACAGACCTGTCTCATTTTGATGGATGCTTTCGTAACACTAAAGACATCTCTGACTTGTTTTTGAATTGCAGAGCACTACTCGAGTGATGGACACAAAGAAATGGCACTGGCTTGGCAAACTCTGATTGACAGCTGGTTCACAGTACTTCAGAACAGACTGCAATATTGTTTTGGAGTGCTTCCCTTTAGCTGCTAAACTGAGGCATGAAATGGAGGAAAACTGCATAAACACTGTGAAAAACGATAGCAGAAAGAGCTTCTCATACTCAGTGGTTTTGACACTTAAAGTTGTTTTCAGCAGTTTGCTTAGGACACCTTTCTCTTCTTTCCTGTCTTTAGGAAAACAAAGGTGTTCCTTCCTATATGTGGAAGGCCCAAGACTGGAATACAATTTTCTTACAGGAGACGAAGATGTAAACAGCTGCAAATTTTATGCCTTTGTTTATTATTGCTACTTTTGATCTCAAAAGTTCTTATGAATGGAACAAACAGACCCAAATTGTCTTTTGTATAATTCATCCACACAGCTTGTGATTTAACTGCTGATATTTTTTTAATGTGTTCTTGCCTTTTTTTTTGGCATATGAGTGAAAGAGAAATTGCACATATGACATAAGCAGAGCTTTCTCTTTGCTCTTTATGCTTGTAATGCTGTTAGCTAGATTTGCACGCTTTGACTTGGGAAGATTCATTGCTGGCAGAGCAGTGAGGTCTGGACAGTTGGCAGGTCAAAACAGTTATTAGTGTTATTGTGCAGAAAAGTTTGGCTCCATGGTAGAGAAGATCCCTCTGAAATAAATATGGAGACTGGGAAAATTAATTATTAAGGAGGATGTTGCAAAAACATACATCGATACTGTTCAATATGTGGTTGGAAGGTAATTGAAAATAATTATGTAGACTCTGACTTAAAAGGAGAGGGAGTCTGATGAACACACACAATAATTTCTGACAGCACTGTCTGGCTGCTGAACCTGTCACGATCCAAAGTAGCACTGGAAAAAGGCCAAGCCCAGTCTCCAAGGCAGGGCTCAAGCATGAAGGAGACTGCCAGACAACTTTGGTTATTTCTCACTTATTTCCTGTGTTACTTTCACTTCACTTGTAGGAGGGCATGTTTCATTGAAGCATTTTAATCCCTCTTTCTATTTAAAAAGTATTTAATATTCTCCTAAATTTATGTTCCATTGAACTCTGTATATGAGCCTTTCACAGAGGTGCATTAGGGAGCTGATCACTGTGTTCATTTCCACATATTAGTTACAGAGCTGCCTACAGCTGCTTAAATTTCACCACCACTTAAAAATCCTTTGAACCATATTATAGTCACGGAGTGGGTTATTTTGGGTTCTCTCCTTTTTTTTCTTTTTCTTTTTTTTTTATTTTAACAAAACTGTCTGATATTAAACACACATTGCTTGATTTAAATAAAGATTGGAGAAGATTTATGTAACCCAGTTCAGGATACACATCCAAGCCAATATTTTCTCTCATGTATATATATAGAACTAAATCTATATTAATCTCAAATAAAAATAGAATGGTGATACTAATTTTGATTACTTTGTTACTTGGCTGGCTTTGACCAATTCTTTCTTTCCTTTTCTTTCTTTCTCTGTTTTCCTTTTCTTTCTTTCCTTCCTTCTTTCTTTTTCTTCCTCTTTCTTTGCTTCTTTTCTTTTTGAAAGCACCAATAAATAAGTCCTAAATATCATCTAAAGTAAAATGGATTTTTTGGAGCTACTTAGTCATTGTACCAGTCTTTTTGACTTCCAAGGGAACTGAAAATGGAAGAATTCCTCTTATGAAAAAGATTAAACAGCTCCAGAAGACCGAAGCACACCTTTTCCCAAGAGCCTCACAGTTACTTCAATAGAGTTTAATACATCCCTTCTATAGAGGCTGTTGAGTGTGAATCTGCAGAAGGTTCTGATCTTAACTTTTTCTCTGCTGGACACCTCTTTTTAAGACTGAGGTGGAGAGAGAGACTATTCTTGCTCTCTAATACCATTTTCACTACTATACCATAAGTGGCATAGTAGCACAGCAAACTATTTTTCAAACTGTCTCAAACATAAAATGTCTTTACAATCTACTCAGAAATCATATTTCCCAAGTCTTGACTCTCATCTACTTTTTCAGCTCAGGATTGCAGGAAAGAAGTGGATTTTCTGCAGAGTCATTGTGTTTTGCATTTCAGCAGGCTTGGGTTTACTGTGATCACTTTAAAAATTTCTAAATAGGTCTGTGAGAATCTAGGAAGTACTTAGAGAAAACATCTTCCTAAGCATGCAACACATTATGTGCTTAATAAGTGCAGCTAATACTTAGCAATTTAGCATATTGTTCTGATTTTGTTAGCTTCACCACTGTTTTCACAAGAAGCTGTCTTTGAAAAAAATTGCCCAAAGAAAATAGTAGTAATACCTATTACTGGAAATAAAGTCTGGAGGTGTATCTCCTGCTCAATTTTCTTTGGCATATTTAGGGTTCAGAGTTCCTTTAACTTGGCAAGCCTGGGCAAGGAACACTTATCCATGTGCATGCAGTACATTCACTCCCATATAATTACTTTTTGTTAATGCTCTGAAATAATTTTCTTTCATTTTAACATAGTCTCCAGTCCTGCAGACATCCAAGCACATGAATAACAGACTCCTAACTTCAATCAGATTACAACTGGGAATAAAGTATTTAGCCATGTGCAGCATCTGGTTGCAGAATCAGGATCATTCATCTCTTGGGTCTTCCTAGGGAGCTGCAGTACGAGATATGTGCATGTGGACTATGGAGTTCATGCAATGGGGCTGATTTACCTACAATGAGCAAAAAAAGTTTTCAGAATTCATAGGGCAATCCACACAGCTAATCCAGCACCTCCTGCAGAAAGTAAATCAGCTCCAACAATCACACCATTCGTGCACTGTGGCATTTAGAGGGGGGAATACAGCCTGTATAGGGAGTTCATTAACAGCCCAGGCTAAAAGGAAGTGTGGGCTATGTGTTTCATCAAAATCAAGGACTTTTTTTCATATATATCACCTTAAAAAATACATTGCATCTGATATTTGAGAGGACAGCATCTTGCAAGACCACTATTCCCTGAGCTTTACTCAAGTATCTTGAAAAGAAGTTTGATTTCTTTGCTGTCTACAAGTTTCATTAATGTGTACATAGGCTCAGAACAGTACATGATGTTAAAAGCTTCAGTGTAATATGTCACACTGTAACCTAAATTCCTCATGAATTATCTCATGTATTTTTATATGTCTACACATTTATAGTATGTATTTTCAGCAGTAAAGGCATTTTCCGGCATTTTCCAGCATTTTGCTAAATACATTAAAAGCTTATTTTAAATTTTGTAAAAACATTGAAAATTTTATAAAATACCCTATATTTTGTGCTGTTATTAGAAGAGGTAATGAACTTAATATGCTAATGTAAAAAGAGAAAATGAAAGAGTTTTCTGAGTGTTTCTGAATGTTGTTTTTAGTATGTTATCATTAATGTATTAAAACATGTACAAAAATGCATTAAAGGATCAGGAATATTTTCCTGCAGGTACTTAGAACCTAATAAATAATGAATGTGATGATTAACTACATGGGCAGAAGTACAGAGCATTACCAAGAAAAAAACTGCATAAAATCTGGCCTTTGACTGGATGTGCACCGTTGGTTTTAAATACTTAAAAGCCCACTTGAATATACTCAGTTGTGTGTGAAGAGAAAACAAAAGAAGCAAGCGTGCTTGAATTAATATTATATTTTCAAATGAAACATTTAAATATTGCCAAGAGCAGTGAGGGTGTCTGGAAGGGCAGCGGAGTGAGCCGAGCCGAGCGTGGCGACGTCCCTCAGCGCTGCTTGAGCAGCCACAGAGGCTTGTGCAGGTCTAGAGAGCTGAAGTACGACCACCACCAGGGCTTCTCCCTGCCTGCTGCGGACCCTCCGCGAGCCTCGGCCTGCCCGTGCTGGGCGTGAGGGTCAAAAAGTTCCAGCGGGTCGTACGGGTCGTACGCGTCCTCCATGGAGCGCCGGAGGAGCTTGTTGGGCCAGGCCTCCGCGGGCCGCAGCACGAAATCCACTCGCCCAGCCTGCTTCATCCTGGCGGGGATGGTGACCCTCTTCATCACGCGGCTGTAGCCCGGCGCCTGGGCGCTGATGATGAACGTCCCTGGAGGCAGGAGCCGCCAGTAGTCACCGTCGGCAGCTTGGGAAAGGGACAGGGACAACAAAACTGAGCTCAGGTTTTTGCCTCGCAGGCCCTGTGGTTGCACACACAGCCGTGGGCACACAGAGGCAGCTCAGATGTTGGGAAATGTTTGAAGGCAAACTCTAGATGACAAAAAGAGACTTTGCCTGTGAAAACTTGGCCCTTGGGAGGTAATGGAGTAAAATTCACATGCCAAATGTCACTACCTGCTGTTTCTGTATCACAGGAAAGAGATGCTTTCCTTCAGGCTGCTTTTCCCAAGGGTACAAGGAATAACTCCCAAAGAAATCAATTTAAAACTAAGTGAAACTTAAGAAAGCCAAATCAGAACCCAGGCAGCAATATATACATGTATGTATATATTTAGAATGTCTAAGGAGCTAAGAAATCCCTCTTTTTATTAAATTACATTCAATTCCTTTGCAGACATTCTCACGTGTAAGACTATGGACTTGGAGCTGCAGCTGGTATAAATTGCCATTAGTGTAAAATGGGTGTAAATTTCCTCCAGCTGAAGGTTAGACCCTGCAGGCAAAAGCAGGGAGCTTTAAAACTGAAAAATTTATTCCTCATTTTATATTTCCTTTATTTTGGATGGCAAGTCTCTTAGCTCAGTTAGTGTTGCGTTAATACTATTTTCTCATGGAATTTCTTAGTTCTTTTTAACACAAAAATCAAAAAACTTTTTAACCATATGACATTTTTAACCCCGCCTAACTCAGAGCAAATACTCTCTTTGCTACACTGTAAACATATTTTTATTTAATTCTTAATCCTTTAAAGGTCCATTGCCAATGGGAAGCCATTGTCTGGGAAGAAGTTTGAAAAAGACCCTAATTCATGCCAGAGTCTCCCACCAGCCCCAATAATCTGCATCATCTCCACTATTGTATCCTCTCTAGTACTAGTTTTTTTGAAAGTTGGAAAACATTATAAGCCATTCTGGCTTTCCAAATTGATTCAACAACGATCATTAGACCAAAATGTAACCATTCATGTCTTCTATTTTGCACTTCTATGGCCTAGCCTGTTCTCACTGAAATCAATAATAAAAAGAAAGCATTGATTTCAGTGACAGACTAAGAGCTCAGAACTTTATGACTGTGAAAAGTAACAGTGGTATATGCCCAATATGTGTTTATCAGTTGGTGACAAGTATAAAGTGAACATAATTCAAGGTTCTAATAATGATTGTCCAAGAATTGCACATATTTATGTGTTTCCACACGAACAGGAAAGGTTGTGGACCCTTCAATTTCTACAATTATTTTAGTTGTGAAAATCAGAAGGTATCCTACTGTACTACCTACAATATGTTCACAATATCTCAACTAACTTATTCCATCAAGGCTCCACATCTCCACATGCTGAGTTACAGCCTCTGAGCAGAGCTGTTGCCATATTCCTCCAAACAGTGGCTTTGGTGGACAGCAGACTGTTCCAGGTGAAATTTTTCACATCACTAGCTCCATCATCCCAGAGACCAGACAGACTTAGCAGTCAGTTTAACATATCTTCTCTCTTGTTATTCTAGAAGAGAACCCCCACCTGAGCCTTCAGTTTTCCATTAAGGTGTCATTTCTACCAAACAGGACAATACTTTTGCAGGTTAAGCTCCCAGTACTTTCACTCTGCCCCAGGAAAAATCTTAAACCAAAAATATTACCTGTGGTGACATCATGCTGAATGCCCCTGACTGAAATACGAGCATTTTTTATTGGGTTGCCAAATTTATCAGACACAATTCCTTTTATCCCCCGATGAACCTGGCAAGGCAAAGCAAAGCAGAGTTAGATGGGAGTCACTGCAATACCACCTCCTCACAAGAAAACCTTTGTAGAGAGGAAACAATTGTTCACTTTAAAAAGTTCACCCCATTCAGAGGCTCTCCAGAGATAATGCCCCTTCAGATCACACTGCCTATTTAGGGAGGTCCAAGGGAACTGAGGAAAAGGGAAAATGGAACCTGAGCTTTTTTGGGATAGGTATGTGGCTTTGCATTGAGAGACCTTTCTCTGCACAAATCACTGGCACCTTGTGGTGTGACCACAGTATTTAAGGACTGTTTCTGAATGTCTGCCCTAAACACAGAACCACAAAGAAATGAAAAGTTAAGGCTTTCAAAACCAATCTGATGCCCTGAACACAATGAGAAGGCATCACTTCAGGTACTTGTAACTCATCATCACTCTGCTGCCTACACTTCATTGCCTGTCAGAATGTCATGACAGCAGTGTGTATGACAGCCATTTCCCCTTCTCTACAAGCACAGAACTGAGATGCTTGAGCTGTTGAAAAATGTGCTTGGTGACAAACTAAAGAGCAATGTGAATTTTTTCATACAAGGAGGTCCACAAACAGCTATACTGGAAGTTCAATAAAATAAAACAAGACAGAAAAAAAGTTACAAGTATTTAAACATTAAGCCTCTCAAGGTTCTCTGTTTACAGTGTTCCAAATTTAAAATATTTTATATCACTAAATGCATATGACCTTTCTAAGTAAAAAGTAATCCCATTTTTATTTTTTTCTCTGAATAGCTATGACCAATTTGAGTTGTCCTTGACTTCCCCACCTCCTCTTTTCTCTTTCGCTCACCTTCCCTTTCCCAGTACCCTTGTCACAAGACAAGAATAGAAAAAAACCACAAAACATTAAAACAATGGAAAAAGTACACTTGCTTTTCTGTTGGAATATAAAGATGTTTAAAAATTACCATCAAAGTATCCAACTTCACAGTAATTGATAATACAAAGTTGGAAAAAAAAAGTCTAGTCTAGTGACCGCAGTTTTTAAATCAAGGTGAGACTGTGTTGTCACTGCTCTTGTTAAGCAGCTATTCCATATTTTGAGATAAGCTATTCACTGAAAAGTTTAGGAGCAACCCATTGTAAGGATTGGAAAACTATCCCTTATAATGAAAAACTGCAATTTGCTTTGCAGCATGAACTTGGGGATTTATCATATGGATAGAGTAAACATGGTCATAAGAGTCATCTCAGACTCAAATTCAATTTACAGTGTAGACATACTCAAAGTAGTATGACCTCATCCAGCTTCAATACTAATTTTGCAATTATAACAAGACAGGATAAAAATGACAAAACTGAAATTTCTTTCACAATCTGGCTTTGCTTTGCTTTAGTAAATGTACTATTTTTCATTTTTCCTCAAATTGGTGTCACATGACTTTGGTAGGGTGTTTTGATATTGCTTCTGATGGGGAGAAGAGATCAGTGTTTAGGAAAATGAATTCTACTTCTGTGTGTTAAGCCAAGTATATTTGTACACACCAAACAGCCTGGTATATATCAGAATAAGAAAAGTTTGAATTGGTTATGGCAGACTTAATCCTTATCATGGGTAATTCAGTCATCCTTATCTGCAAAGTTGTTTTGCTTACTGTCCTGCATTTACTCAAAAAGCTTTTCCAGCACAGACTTCTACAGTATCTCACACTATAAAATCTTTACATCTTGAAGACTTCAATTGTAATATATATGGATTTAACCCAGCTCCATTTGGATTCACTAAAACTCATTTTCATCAGACAGCTGTAAAACGAAATGAGTTTGGTGGTCTGTACTGTAGACTTTATTGAATGATAATACTTACCACAAGTAGCAAGAGGTTGCTTAGAAAGGCCATAAAAACACTCCTAACAATTTTAAATTACTGCATACTCTATCAAAATAAGGCATGACAGAAAGCTAATCTACTAATGGCTGAAAGAAAGATGAGCAACTTCTGTTTCTGTGCTCACTTACTTATTGTCAGTGAGGTATTTGTTTTTGCTGAGCTTAAACTTATTATTAAAAATGACATTTAAGTGGCACGTTTTAATGCTCAGAGACACACAGTTCTTCCTTTAGAAGATTTGGCTTCAGATATTTAATAACTACTTTCATAAAGAAATCAAGATGGAAAGTGTGTAAATGGCATTTCTAGCAAGATTTTAACTGAATCTTAATTTCTTGCTGTGGGACAGTAGGATTTGGGACACAAATATGGAAGATGGAAATGAAAATTTCAGGAAGCTCTCTTGAGAGCAGATCTTGTTGCTTTAGTCTTCAAGAGGAAAGTTGATTCATACTTTTCTGAATATTAAGGTTTCCTCTAGTGCTAAAATTTTTGACAGTTGATGAATAATGCTGCCCAAAGTATTCATAGATAATTCCTTTTCTCACTGTTTTCAAGGTTTTTGCAGTCCTCACTTTCAATCCCTTCTGCAGAACAGACAAAATACCACCTGTGTCCTGCCAGATAAACTGAGGCACTGGGACCCCTGGAGGAGTGTGGTGTTTGATTCAGCATCATCTCGAGAGTTAACCGGGAAAACAGCAAAGAAACTAATTTTGACAAAGAATGAAAAAGAAAAACAGAAAGCAAAAAGGTCTGTAAAAGCAGAGCAGTACCATTTCCATGTAATTCAGAAGGGCACCTTTGTTTTCATGCCAGATTGTAAACAGTTCTTCTTCCAAAGGAAACTTTTCACATCCTACCTCCACGGTAACTTCAAAGCAATTTGTGTGAAGGTAATTAAAGTCTGCCATACCTACAAGTTTAAAAAAGAAAGAGGAGAGATCATGAACAGCCATGTAGCTTTTAACTGCAGCTTTGCTGCTGCAGTCAGCTGAATGCTGTCCCCATGAGGGTGGGTCATTATACTGTAAAAAGTGCTCGCAAATATATAAAAAGTGTTCAACAAATTCAGAATTCTACAACTTGTTTCAGCTATAAATTAACTTGTTTCAACTATAAATTAATGACAATGACACTTCATTCAGGCAAAAAGCATAACTTTATATTATTATTCACCTGGCCAAGAAGTAGCAATAGAGCAATAAAGATTGGTTAATCACAGTAATTGTATAATCGGCTGTATCAGAGGTGATTGCCAAAGGTAACCAGAACAGAAATTACCTTTTGCCACTATTATGTTCAAAACTGTTCCTGTACAAAAGACATTGGATATAATTTTGGGAAAAATGTAAGCCAAAGAGATCTAAACCTAATTCTCATGCATGCCTGAGAGCATTCCAAATGTCTAGTTTCAACATAATTATTCGGGGATCCAGCTGAGTCGTATTGGAAAACACAACTGAAGCACTGCTGAAAATTTATCCTGAACACTAATATTTTATCCATGCCAGTATTGAAGGAATTCTAAAGAAAACAGAATACTATTACTGGGGAAATCAAATTAACAACGGAAGAACAAATGATTTGGATGTTTGTCTCTGTTATAATTTTCCCTGAAAAAAGAATTTATTTAAACAAATGAGATAGCAGCACATGCATAGTCTACAAGATGGATTCACACTCATGAAGCTAAGGAATAAGAGCATAGCATTAAGCATTTATTCCTACATGTAAGATTTGAAAATAAAAATATTTTATGCTATAACAAATTTGACCCTTGCCTAACTTGTTAATTTTCCTCAAGTCCCATTGGGGTTGAATGCATCTCATGTTATCTGCATAAAAACATTACCAACATAGATTTTACTACTTAAATACTCTACAAATTATGTTTTTCATGGGCAGGACTTTAACCAAACTGAAATGAATAAAATCATTTTGTTCAAACCATGGTGTCTTATAAAGGTCACATAGAGGTTTTACCTCACTTGATATGATGGTAAAGTGGTTTTACCTCCAGTGAAGCTGTACCACTCAGCACCATTTATAATACCTCCACGTTTCACAAAATTCCCTCCACAGCGAAGTTCAGACCGGTCTGAGATGACGGGGTGTGCATCTGCATAGGCTTTAGCCAGCATCTTGAACACCTGTAACAGACATGATTGGAATATCTTTACTGTTACAAATGGAAAACTTTGCCATTGCTGTTATTAACTATTGCTGTTGTGAGTCCAGACAATGAGCCACCCCACCCTGTGTCCTTGAGACTGAAGGAGGTGATGAACTGTTCTACAAGGAAGTTTCCTTTGTCACTAAGAAATTTTGGTTTGTCTTCTTCTTTAGGGTGCTTCTCTGTAATCCAATATATTTATCCAGGGACAACATATTAAACACCAGCAGATTTTTTGATACTTGGCTTCAATCTACCGCCTGGGGCAGGAGCAGACGACATTTTTTGTACTTCAAGTCCCAGGTTTTAAACTTGAAATATAGACCTCTTTTAAGTTTTGTTTTAGCTTTTGATATTTTTTACCCTTCAGCCCAACTAAATCTTCACGCTGTTTAAAATAGTCAGTGTCAATTTACTTTGCACTTATCACTCACACAGGAAAACCTGCCAGCCTGACCTCAGAGAGAGCTGCTTCTGTGTGGGGCAGAAACCATTCCAAAAAGTGAAGGATAGGATGTGATGATGCAGGATGTCACCACTGATTTCCAAAGAGTGTTGACACTGATGAAGAGCAGAGCAGTCACCATGCAGAAAGAAACAGTGGCAGAACATGTAGTGAAGACAGAAAGAGCAGTTATTTGAAGAAACCATTTATTTGAATCATGTTCCTGCCCTTCTTCTCCAATGCTTATTCCAACTTTGTATATAAATCCTCCCTCTCCTTTTTGTCGATTTGGACCTCATCTGCTAAGACAAGATTCACAGATTTCAACATTGAAACTACAGCAGTTATCAGATGCTGCTTGATGCTACTGCTTATCATCATGAGTTTTATTCCATATTGCTTGAGACAATGTGTGAAAGAAGTTTGGTGGCTAAAATCCTAGTCTTAGAAGTCATCCTAAAGCTTTATCCTAGTGTTGTCATGAAGGATGAAGATGAAGGATGAAGACCCAAATGACCAAGCACACAACACTGATTGGTATTTGTGAGTGTTTCTAATAATCACATAGCTAAACCAATTACGGAATCAGATAGGTGACAAAGGAAAGGTAAAAAGAGAGTCTGATGTAAGTGTAAAGACACTTTACTGAAATACTTCTGATGGCCAGAAACTAAAAATTCAGACTTAATATATAATGCTTTTGCAACTCCCTTAAATTTCCATGTGTCTAAATATTGCTCAGACCAGAAAATTGTGTCCTTCCAAGTTCTGCTGAAAATAAATAGATGTTAATTAAATATGTTAAGAGGAACTTTTACTGCCAATAATTCAGTGCCAGGCTCAATATCTTTAATTTCTACAGGAATTTGGGTCCCAGTTCCGAATGTTCCATGGCAGGTATTTGATATAAAGTTTAGAAGGTGCCTAAATGAGTTAGGAATATGATTCTCACCTTTTACAAAGACATCTGCAGATGTCCTCTTTCCAGTGACCAAGCCTCCTCTTGTTTCACACTAAGAGGCTTAAGGCTTTTGCCCAGCCAATAGTTCAAGTGAAGGAAGGCCAGTGGTAGTGAGAGGAGGAAAAAAAGTTCCTGGATATCAATACATTTGTTATCACTTAGAAGCTAATGTATGACCAGACATGGACCTCAATGAAACTTAGATTTTTAGGTATAATATAGAGGGGAAAAAAGGGGGAAACCAGAGGAATCCTTGTGACTTTGGTGGTGTGAGGTTTCACCCAGTAAAGTGAGGTCAGTGCTGTTACCTCAGCCAGCACTTTTACCCCACTGACCATCACAGGTTGGGTTTTTCAGGGGGAGGGAAGGGAGTGTTTCAGCTCACCAAAGGGAATGAACTTGACTTGGTGTGGACCTTTCTGCTCTGGTGAGAGCAGAGTCATCAATTCAGTTTCTTGTTTAAAAAAAAAAAAAGTGTTAAAACATCTATCTCCACAAACCCTGAAACGTGGAAAGGTTTTAGGTGGGCTGAACCACATGCAAGAATGTGAGTGTAAGGACATGGTCCAGCTTTGAGACTCCCTGCTCTCAGCCAGAAATTGCCCCAGGTTGTGGTGCAGACCAAAAAGAGACTTGAAATCTGCAGTGTCTTGGAGCAGAGGAGAGGAGCCTTGTGCTTCCACACATGCACCATGACAGACACAGGGAGGTGGAAGCACAGATGCATTTTCAAATGGAGAAACATGGTTTAAATATATTTCTCAAGATTTGATTTTTTAATATCTGGCTATCATCTGCTCTGCAGCATTTCACCCTGGTCTGCAAGTTTCCCCTTGCAGAGTGAATGTAGCAGTTCAGCATTCAGAACAATGGTTATGGCCAATGCACAGCAGATAACCAAACTGCTGTATTATGGGATGCAGGTTCCCTGACAGCAGCAGCTGTAGATAACATTACTTAAATGCAGGTCACTGCACTGCTATAGGTTTTATATCTTCCTGTAAAAATTTTCAAGTGATACTCACAGGGCTGTTAAGATTTCTTGTGCTGAGTCATTTGAAAAATCAGTTTTCCACTGAAGACATCCCCAGCCCTCCTTGGCATGTTCTAAACTTCCAGATTTGAAGACAAACTACCAGACTTTGCAGTCACTGACTATAGGGTCAGCAGTCACCTGTATAGGGTTCCCTGTCTTACTGTGTTGCAAGCCAGGAGTGCCATTAGGGTTTGTCCAGCTGTGCACTACACTGGGATGGAGCCTTTTGTCTGTGTGGCTGCATCCTCCCACTCAAAATACATGTGCTGTCCCCGAGTGGAAATGATGGAAGTACTGCTGAACTTCCATTCCAGGGGTGAACTGCTTGATAAAGTACATGTCAAGATTTCTTCACCACCTATGCACAGGATAGCCCCAGCCCAGACAAGAGGATGTAAAAGCACAATTTTATGATTTCCCCCAGTCCTCAGAAAGAGGTTCTGCAGCTTGCACTAGCAACCACCAGATATTTCTTACACAGGCTTGTTGCTGTGCAGTGACTGGTTAATTTTACTGCTAAATAATTTTCATACACACACACTCATTAGGCACTGTACAGCTCAGAAGAAATGGATTGATACAGAAAATGTTTAACAGCCATACATCTTTAAATATTTAATATGTGTTAGTGAGAACTGTCATTTCAGAAGAAGTCAGCCTAGAGATATGCTCAAAGATAAAGCATGCTTCAAGTCAAAGATCAACTTCTGACTATTTTCAACTGTTCTTTGTTTATATAAAGAACCACTTTTCTTAGGAGGCCACAGACATTTTTAGCACAGCTAGAAGTCTGAAAAGCTATCTGTTCTCCTGGTGGGCATGTCGGCAATGAATACTAGATTGAGGAAACCAAAGGGAAATAGGAAAGATGGCAAAAAATTTCACAGAAGATTTACAGTGAGTCCCAAATGAGGAACTTTCCAGGGACAAGAGGAGGAAACCAATCCTATTAGTCTGACCTAGAATAAATGTTACAAGGCTGCCACCATATGGCAATGAATCTTTTTTCCCTTCACTCCTCATGGATTCCACAGGAAAATAACACTGCTGGTCAGGCTTGTTCCTTTTCTTCTGGAAACCACTGATAAAAATATCACAGCCTATTCCCTTTAAAAATTAAAACCTGGATTTTTCTAATCTCTGTTTTATGAAACCATATTTGGCCTCACAAAAGATAGGTAACTCCTTCCAGACCAAGCTGATAATGTGTAAACAATCCTATATTTTAAAGGACATTAAGTAAGTGTATAAATCAGAGTCACACAATATTCTGAGTTGGAAGGAATTCACGAGGATCATCAAGTCCAAGTCTTAAGTGAAAGGCCTCTGTGGGGATTGAGCACTTGACCTTGGCATTATTACCATCAGCTCTACCCAAATGAGATGAAATAATGTTTTATAATATATTAAAAAAATATATATATACTTGGGTTATGTATATAAATACATATACATATGTTATTTATACATATATAATACATAAATGCATACATATACACACACATGTACATGATCTAAATTAATCAAAGTTTTTTATTTATTAAAGTTTTCCATAGTTCCACAAATGGAACCAACATCCTAACCTTGCAAAAGCAACATTACCTTCTCATCAGGTGTAGGGGAGAACATTTTTTCTTCCATAGGATGCCTTGAATAGTCATAAGGATAGGTCACAACCAGCTCACCCCCATGGAGGCTGGCAGAGAGCACAAATGGGATAGACCTCAACCACTTCATGACTGCTTTTGTCTCAGGGGCCACCTGAAATCCAAAAGAAAAAAAATAAAAAGCTGTAACTAGTCATGCAACTTCAAAGGGATTTGATCCTGTGCAGGATGAAGCCCAGTGGAGAAGAGACTACGTCAAAAAGAGAATGTTGAAGCTCTTTGGCTCTTCCAGATCAAAAGTTACTGGGGGAAGAAAATCAGTTTTCTCCAGGGAATGGATGATACACATTGTTCACTGTGGCACAAAAAAGGAAAGAGAACATTTGACAGAAGAAACTTTTCATTACACTGACATTTTCAGATGAAGATGGCAGTACTTTAGGTGGAAAACTTTTATCACTACTTACATAACTCCCTATCTAATTTCATTTCTGAATCAGCAGGATTGACTTTGAATGGGTAAACTGGAATAGGGGGATAAATTTGCAATTCTCATCCCTTGTTGAAAATGCATTTTCTATGCTTAAGTGCAGGTTAATCTGTAAATAAATGAAAACTAATATGTATAAAGCACAGCAATGCCTGTGGTTTGCCTGCAGTGAACTGTGGCAGATAAGTCACCAAATTTAGGGGTTTTTGACGTCCCTCCTCAGTAACACCAGCCAAGGGAGATGGCAGCAGACTCCAAGAGATGTTCAGGTACCCCGCAGGCAGGAGGCTCCTTCACCCCGTTTCTGAGGAGTAATTTCTGGGACCCGCTCCGGTGTTAGTTCATTCTTAGGGATAACAGTGGCATCTGGTGGCCGGTCCCTGCAAGCCCAGACTGACGCCGGTGCCCCGGGAGAGCTGAGGTTCCTTTCCTTGCAGCTGGCAGAAGTTACCTGGGGAAAAGCTAAGGAGGGCAGAGGCTGCTCATCTGGACCCTGCACCACTGCAGATCTGCAGGTTTTATAAAAATGAGAAATACCTGTTATGATGAACTTAGTCCAGCATCTATTTAGGGCTGCTTTAGGGATTGCTTATCACCCTTTGCTTTGACTCAGCTGTCAGAAAACGAGGCAGCCAGGGATCCAGAGCTCTAGTGAATAACAGTGTGCAGGGAAAAAAACATCCAGAACAAACAAGAAAGAAACTACCAAACCAACTGATTAAAGCCCCTAAAGACCTATATATCTGTGTTTCAACAATAGTAACTCCTGTTTTCTTTGGATCAGTCCCTAATCTGCTATTGTTAAAAAAACCTTTTGGGATCCACAAACCCAGGTGTGGAGCAGAGAAAAACACTGTGAAGGGACACCATGCATGTATTATAGCTCCATCAATGAGGCAGAAAGCCAAGGGAAAAGCCATGTCTAAACATAGTTTTACCTGGAATGATTTAAGAAGATATTGCCCTGTCTACTCCTGACCTAAGCATGAGACTACCTCCCTATAGATGCCATAGTTTTTCAATCAATCTTTCTAGTGTTTGGGTTTCCTTAAAATGCCCTTCTGTAGCTATTGAGATAAATGCTGCTCTGTAGCTTTCAACTTTGGCATTTTGAAGAGGCAACTTGAAAAATGGGATGTAACAGGTAAAGTCTGATCAACTGAGGAATACAGAATGCACTTTGCACACCAGAAGCCTAATCAAAGGGGTTTTTTACGTAATAGGGAAGATTAAACACAGAGTTTCCAGGAAGGGCATGACATTAAAAAAAAAAAATTAAAAAGGCAGATAAACGGCATTCCAAAAGGAAAGAACTTTTTGCAGTCTCACACCCACTCACACAATGCAGAAGTGGGAGAAGAAAGCAGCCCCCAGGCTTCCTGACAAGAAATATGGCACTGTCCAAAGAATGCTATCTGCACCAAAGGATTTGTTTTTCTGGCCTTTGTACGGTGTCCTGGGATGATCTGATAATGATCTTTATCCCAGTAGTGCTTTGGACTGAAGGAGCCATTTCCACCTGCACCCTTTGAGCCCATCTCTTCTGAAGAGAAGACCCAGAGGGCTTGTAAGGGGCTGTAGGTGTCACTGCCTGCCCCATGGATTGGGCAGTTTGGGAGTTTCTGCCAAAAGTGGTGTGCTTGAGCACCTGGAACAAGCTCACACTTCCAAGTGCATAGCACCAGCCCTTCTGAGGAGGTTGCTGCTCCAAAATCCCATCAGCTCCCTGCCCTGCTGCAGCTGCCCCAGCTCCTGCTGCCCAGCCAGAGAGGCCAAGCCTGACACAGCATCAGCCCTGCTTTCAAACAGCAGCCTTGGGCCTTGATAGGATTTTTAAGTTGCTTCTGCAATACAGTGGACAAGAGTAAAATACAGTTTTATTTGAGAGCTCCTGTTTTCAGTCCTTCATCCTGATCAGCCAACTGGCTAAGCAGATACCTGCATAAGCCCCAAGACAGTGCTGTCTCACAAAGCCAGTGGAATTGAAGTGAATGTTGTGAAAAACCAGGACTTTCAATGTCGCTATTTTTATCCTAATAACATTTCAGTGACATGAAATGAGCATATTCTGGTTCAGCTCCACCGGATGATAGCAGGTGTTATCTGTGCCACTCTGGCCTTTGACTTTTCCTTTAATGTCGGTTTTGTGGAGTTTAATTTCTTTTTTCACCAGGGATTTTGCTTTTAAGTCAGATGAGATCAATTTTAAAGTATCTATCTCACAAGAAAAATTCAGAACACAACCAGAAAACAGGGAAATTATTTCTGCATGAGTACAGAGAAGGGCCACTACCCTTTTTAAACCTGAATCTCATTTCTTCAATTATACTGCAATTAGTCACTGTCTCCATGGCTTTCAAAGATTTTTTTTTCTCCCTTTAAAAAGCAGCCAGACTAATTTTCTTAAAGAGTATGCCAGCCTCCACTGGCATAAACTTCCGAATTCTGTTTGAATCAAGACAATTGAACTATATTTGAGATGTAGCCTGAGGTCTGTCTGTCTGAGCCCTCAGACCACTTATTACAATAATTCATAAAAGAGGGGAACAAAACACTCTGAATGAAGCCAGGCTTTTGGGGAGCAGAAGCTCTGGCTGAGAGCTCACTTTCTGCTTCCTGATCTTTATACAATGCCCTGCAGCACTCAGGTAATTACTTTAATAAGGCAGGTAACAAACACTGTTAAGTAAATGAAAGGGGAGAGGCTGGTTTTGAAACATTCAACCTAATGCTCCTGCATGCACAAAGCACCACTCTAAGAGCCATGGGCTCATTTGCCTGACAAAACTGAAGGTCATTAAGGGACAGCTAATTTGGTAGTGCCACGGTACCATCAGCAGAGGAGATACAAGGCTGGGAGACCACTTACTGCCAGGTTAGTGAACCACAGAAAACTACAGGCAGCAAGGGGATTTTGTGGTGCCACTAAGGCCACAGGCCTGGTTCCCTCATATGCTCTGTAAAGCATATGGATTTGGACATGTTTTGAGTGTTGTTTATGTGAGGACCAGCATTGGGGTCAGGGGAGCACCTAGAAGTTCCCTGAGTTTTGGTGCTCTGAGGTGTACCTTGGATGGCCACCTTATTTCTTCTTTAAAAACAAGAAAAGCTTTGCAGGAGAAGTGGTGTATTTGTAACCCCAGGTCCACACCCACTGAGGCAGAGCTCAGGTGGGGTGGGGTGGTTGTGTGCCAAGGTTCCCTGGTCCCTTGTCTGTGACAGCTAACCCAGGGTGATGCTGCAGCTGGTGCAGGGCTGGGGTGGTAGCTGTGAGAGCAATGTTGGGCTGTGTCCACCCATCCCTCTATAGGCTGCTGTGATGTTACACAGTGTTTGAGAAAGCTAAATACATGGTTGTAAAGATGGCTTCTGCAAGTGGCTGCCTGCTACTACCATATCTATCACAGGTCAGCAGAAGAACCAGGGCAGAAGCAGGACTTGGAGAGGGAGGAGGTTAGAGCCAGGAAATCCAGAGTTACAGGGACAAGCTCACAGTTTGCACCAGGCACTGGCAAAAAAATGGAGGTCAAAGACACATTTGTCCCTCCTCAGTGCTGCCTGGTCCTCAACCCTGCACCTCTGGACACAGAGGGAGAGTGATCACATGGCTGAAGGAAGATCTCCATCCTTTCCTTCCCATGTTGGAGCAGAGGAAGGGTCTGAGGACCCCTTCCTCTCAGTTGGAAGGAGTACCATAGATAATGTGGGATGAACTGATCACAGCCCCCATTCCCAGTCCCTCTGCACCACAGTGGGGAAGCAGGTATAGAATTCAGGTGCAAAATTAAGCCTGGAAAGAAGGCAGAGGTGAGGGGAAAGGGTTTTTAAGATTTTTCATTACTCTACTCTGATTCAATTAATAATAAATAAAGTAGATAGAAATAATTTTCCTCAAGTTGAGTCTCTTTTACTTCTGATGTTAATTAGTGACCAATCTGTCCCTGTGTTTACCTTGACCCATGAGCTTTTAGTTACATTTTCTGTCCCCTGTCCAGCTGAGGGGGAGAGTGATAAAATGGCTTTGGTGGGCACCTGGCATCCAACTAGGGAAACTCACCACAGGAGTGAATCAAAATCTCTCTGACTTTCCTCCTAAATCCCCCTTTTTTCCCTCCCACCTATTTTTATTTGGCCTCAGACTCTGCTCCACAGCTCTCAACCCTTCTTTACCACCTGAGGCTCTGAACTCCACTTGCATTTACCAGCTTGCTATTATCTGTTATTATTCAGTCAAAATTTGAAAACATCTAAGCTTGTGACCTTATAACCATGCAGAAATTCAGTGCCATAAGCTGGGATCTATGATTACATGCAAAAATAGAATAAACTGCTTGAGCTTAATTATGGCAGAAATTAGTGGTATAATACACTGTGTATTACTGAGCCTCTTACAGCCTTGGGTCTTCATATGCACATTATCCTGAGGAAGTGAGGTGCTTTTATCTAGATTTTAAATCTAGATACTACTGTGAAATGGGGTACCAGAACACTGGGGTAGCATCAGGGATGCCTTTGGGATTTAGACCTGGCTTTACATAAGACCACCTGCAGCAGAGTAGGAACCTGAAGCATGATCTCTCAAATCTTCTGCTAACACCAGGTGAAAAAAATCCTGTTCCCCACCTGTCTGAGGCTTTGTGCCAGCAATAAATATTGAATCAGAATAATTAGTTTAAAAGTAGAAGAAAAGCAGAGCTCCCAGTATCTGAACTACTGATTTAGCTTCCTGTGATTCCTCTTTCAAGGGCAGCTAAGGCCCACTTAGAGTTGTGCTGGGGGCTGCTGGTCTGCCAGCAACACAGGTAGGGCTGAGCTTTGCATTCTTGACACAACATCACACAGAGCTTAGTGATGATGACTGTGAGGCCATGAAGTGCTGCCTGCATCCTGCTCCCACCCTGCAGCAGCAACTTTCCCTCCCAACACTCTGCAGCTTGACTGGCTGTTTTCACTGCTCTATATGGTTGCAGATGTTTATACACATCTCTCTTAATGGAAGATGACATCACACAGCTTTACATACAGCCTTTGTACATTTTCCATGGCAGAAACTCCTATTGCATCAAACCTGTGCAGGGCTTGGTGCAATGACAACCAAATCCATACAGGCTTTAACAGGCACCACAGTTTAAAGCATTAATGATGAATTACACACTTGTGAACCCCTCATAACAGTCATTATTCTTAATCTAAACCAGCAAAGTTCAAATTGTCTACAAATTTTCCACATTATTTGTGACACCTGCCTCTTTGGCCAGACTTACACCATGATTTTCATGCCAACTTCAGTCCTACTTATAAAATCTGATTACAAGCAAATAACTTCAGAACAAGCAATCTCAGTCTTAACTCCTGACCTGTTCTGTAGTATAAATGATTTATAAAATGTGTAATTCATACCTTACCCCCCCAGTAGGACTGTGGAATGGGGATGTGGTCCAGACGGGCCCCACGAATCCCAGCTCTTCTGTAAGCCTCAGATGTCAAATCAGGGAAATTTCTGTTCAGGTCCAAGTTCTGAGCTGTCTGTCGTCCGATGACCCATCCATTGTAACCAGCCCCCTGTTTTGTCACACAGAAGCCAATTTCAGAGTAGCTCCCTGTCTCAAAATAGCACTTTTTGGAAACTGATTAATCAAAGGGAAGTTTTAAAAGAAGTAAAGTGAAAATGTCTGTACTGTTAAAAAACCCACGCTTAGTAATTAATCACATTTTGTCCCCATGAATATTAATGCACTAACTAGCATTCAGGAAGTGTTTCACTCACCAGTGATGTGACTCATGAGAGGAACACAGGAGCCTCTTGCTCAGAGCAGCATGCAGAGTGGGTTAGAGGAGAAAAAGAAAATACAGCTGATGTCCCAATACAGGATGAGACAGAGTGCAATAACCCCGGACTCATACAATCCATGGAGAGAGCTCACCACATGAGCAAAAACAGAAAAAAAAGGTCTAGTTTCATGCTAGTGATGGTAGAGAAAACAGAGTGGGGGAAATAAGAATGTCAGGTAACAAATAACAGAATCTTAGTTTTCACAGGTCTCCATCAGACATGAGCTGATCTCTGAAAACTGCCATCCATTATGAAACTTTGACAGTATGGACAATATTCACATTTCATTATGCCTACAGATTTAAAAGAGGGGGAACATCATCATATTATTAAACTGCATTTCCTTATAAAACAATGTAAGTCATTATAGTGAGTCAGGCATTTTGTTCTAGAACTGATAGCAGAGAGTGCTAAGTGTGTGAAAAAGTAACAGTCATTCCCACATCATCACATGCAGGCAGCAAAACTGACAAATATGGCTCTGATTTCCTCTTAGTTCTGTTCACATCATCTTTGGAAAGCAATGCACTACCAAACCTATCTGGGATTCTGGCAGTCAATTACTAGAGTGTTCCCCTTTCACATGACACTCCCCTCCCAGTTTGTTCTTTCCCATGGAGAATTATAGAAACATGAAGGCCTGAACATCCCTTTATAATAAAATTTTTACCTCTTCTGCAGCCAGTTCATACCCATCAGGATTGAGTGAGGGCAGGAGATGGATTCTGGTGTTGTTGATCAAGGTCTGGACGCGAGGGTTCCCAAGAAGATATTCTGAACACAGATACTGTGCGAGGTATATCAGCAGTTCCTTCCCCACAACTTCATTTCCGTGCATGTTGCCAATGTACTTAAATTCTGGCTTCACTGTGAAATGTAAAATAATGAGATGCTTTAATTTGATTGTACCTGAGTGGCTTCCAAAATCAGACTAATCCAAGTTGCTTACTGATGAGTCAAAGTTTTATTTACACTAAATTCATGCACACGTTCCTGCAAATAGCACAGAGTTCCAGGTGAACTTCTCTCCATCAAACATCAGTTCAGCAACAGTTTAAATAGTGTGAAATAAAGTTAAGTCCAAACTATTAGGATTCCAAACCATAAGAGGTGATTGCTGCTCTGAGCTTTTGCTACTCATCATTAATTGTGAGCAAAGGATGCTGAAAACAAAAACATCAAGCCATGGCTGGGGAGGAACAAAACACAACCCCGGCATTCTGACCTACCCTGGGGGACTTCAATGCCTTATTTTGTCACAGATCCTAAAAACCACCTGCAGATATGTAATATATTACCCACTCATTTAGAAAAGAAGTTGGGTTATGTATAAAAAGGGGCTTTCAGGATAAATAGCCCTGGAATAAGCCTATTAGAAACACATAACTTTGCAATTCCCTGTAGTTATTCTCTCAATTTCCATCCTTCCTTAGAGACTAATGGGAAGTAGAAAATAGATGCACCCTTTCCTGTCTATCCCTTCATCTTTGCCTTTGATCCTGGCCAGCCTTGAGCACTAGACACTGGAGGGAGCCTGGCACAGAGCTATTATGCCCCTTGCTCAGGCTGGCAAAATCTCCAGCTCTGGAGCTATTTTCTACCTCATTTTATGGTGTCCCGAGCAGCATGAAGAAATAGATTTAGAGCAAAATGCTAGGAAATGTGTTAAACTACCATCTTTTGTCATGCCATATCACAGTTTTCATTTAGAAGCCTGATTCATAGGCTTTGTGTTTTCCTGGCAAATGGAGTATAAGCTTAAAAAGACACCTGCAACTTATTATCTTGGAAAAAGAGAGAGAGGGTGATAGGCCAGGAAAATGTAACATAGATCTTTGCCCTGTTAATGACATCTACTGGGACCTGATTAAGTTTAAAGGCACCTCAAAATACCTCTAGACCATGCAGGGCAGCACAGCTGAGAGTAAACAAAGTGACCACCAGTCTTGGCTGTCCTCTCTGAGTCACCTTTTGCTTCGCAGCACAGCACACAGAGGACACAGCAGCCTGACCTGAGACCATAATCTCAATGAAGTATTAGGTCAGATGTAGTTCAGTTCTGCCACACTGCTGAGGCTGTGCTGGTGCTGGAGCTCTTCTGATGAGAAGCAATCTGAGGCTCTCACCAATGGCCATAGCAATCCACCATATCTGGACAAATACAATTTTTGACCTCGGAGATGGTAACTGGAAAACAATACCTAATACTGCCCTAGAAAGTTATCTGCTTTGTGAAGAATTTAAAACAATTAAAAATTTTACTGTTGCTGTCTTAGTGATGAAACTACAAAATAGAGATTTGTAGTGTTCTCCTCTGCAAAAAATTTGTGAGGACTCATATCCTAATGTATATATTAGCATCTATAAATGGCATCTGTTCAGGGGCTATGATAACAGAAATTCCTGTTATCACCAACTGACAGGTATAGTATTGACATGAATCTTTGTTCAGGAGGATTGTTTTCTGTGCTAAATCATCCTTTTTCAGTGTCAATGTCCTTCTCTATCTGAGGCCTTCTCAGAAGATTTATGTATTTCAGGATATGTAGGACAGTGAGGAAGTGGTGGATGATAGGGAGGACAAGTCAGTAAGTGAAATGTATCCTAAATTTGTGCATTGGGCACAAATAAATAACAGTGATATCACTGCAACCAAATACACAGTGATACAAGGAATAGCATTACCAAGATGGTCATGCACAGAGCCCATAACAGTAAGAAATTGCTGCTGGGAATCATCAACTATCACTGCAACTCAGGAACACAAGGGAGGAGAAATGTTTTGGAGTCAATGCTTTTAGAGTTTGAGAGATGTCCCAGTGAAAGGGCCTGGTTTCACTTGGATAATCTGGTCTCCCCTGAAGCAGCCTGATCAGCACTGATAAAACTCACGCAGCTCGTGGTGTCCAGGCTTGGTGGAAAACTCAATCACAAAAAGATCCTTCCCTTCAAAACTGCGGCCTATGCTGTAAGTGGTGGCAATGTGGGAGCACTTCGAGGCAGTCTTCTTCAGCGTGCTCACCATTTGGGAATATGAATGGTGTTTGAACTGAATAAAAGTTGCTGGCAAGTCTGAAGGCAAATCTTCCTCAGCATCTACTTCTCCTGCAATGAAAAATCATAACAGTGTTTAAAACCACAGTGCTTAGAGGATTGTATGAAAACCTGAACTTTTTTTCAAATTATCTTTATAAGCAGAAGAATTATATAAAATAAAGCTGCAATCAAAACATTAAACATATGTAGTACATCCTACACTTTATTGTGACATGTTTTTTTTAAAAATCCTTCCAATGCATATGCACACTAATAAATATTTGTGTAATCTCCAGTTACATTTGACCTTTGGCATGCTAGCTCACTTCAGTAACAAACTGTGCAGATTTTTCCCTTTAAATTTGGTGAATCTTTTTTTTTATGACATTCATCTGTCTTCAGCTATCTGTATCTTTATCCAAACAAAAATCTGTGACAATCATTAATGAGAATATTTTAATGAGCTGTTAAGTTTGACAGGCAGTCACAGATTTATAAATGCACTAAAGTTTCAGTTTTTAAATGAAATATTTCAAATATATAGACAGCTATCACACAGAACAGGAATTATCTAAATGCATCCACATATCTTGCTCTGAGCTGCCTGTCTTGATGCTCTTTTTAAAAGAGGGGAAGAAATGGATACTTCTTGAGCACAGTTTAATTAAGTCTTTAAAATAGGTTGAACAAAATTAATGACACATTACAGGTCTCTACAGAGAAAACAGGCTGAGATGACAAGTGAAGAGGTTTTGTGCCATGGATAAGTCTAGCTGAGTGAGATGAGACACTCCCCATGCAGACAAGGCATGCTAGCAGAGCTTCCTTCCTTCCTTCCTTCCTTCCTTCCTTCCTTCCTTCCTTCCTTCCTTCCTTCCTTCCTTCCTTCCCTACTCCCTCCCTCCCTCCCTCCCTCCCTCACCTCTCAGCTTTGCCAGCGGGTCGAAGCACCCCTCTTCCTCCCCAGCGAAGAAGCGGTCACAGTCTAAGAAGTAGGGCCAGGCCATGTCTATTGCATCAAAGGCAGGGAGGCAATTCTTTTTGAGGTTTTCACAGACGTGCCTGCAGGGCTTTATGACTTTGTCCTTCTCACACTGCGGGGCCAGCACTGAGCAGCCCAGGAGCCTCAGGTCGGGGTTGCATTCCCCCTGGAGCAAGTTGTGCAGCACGCTGATGAGCAGGTACTCAGAGCTGTACTCAATCACTTCTCGAGACTTCTGATCCAGAAAGTTGGGGTACACCATTTGAGTGTAGGCAACATCGGTACAAGAACTCAGGGCAATATCCACGCATTTTGCTACGAAAAGGAGGTGAACATAGGAAAAACAACTTTCTTCACTGATATTCTGAATAGACAAAGAGAACACAACAAATACCATGCCAAATGATCTTATTTCTTTAGCTGTCAGGTAGGCTGGGAATAGTTTGCCAACTGAATTGCATGTTTAAAACCACTTCTAGAAAGATGATGAGAAGCATGTTTGTTTCTGGAAATATAATTTGAGTTTAGAAATTTGACCAGAAAATTACTAAGAGAAAGGTGGGAATTTGCTGGTGAGAAAAACTCAGATTCCTGAAAAAAGTGTATTTGTAATATCACTCTCTCCCCTGTCCTTGAATTGTTATATGGATTCTCTGAGTAGGTGTGAGATCCTATAGGTTTTCTTCTTTAGTGGGGAACGTAGTGCTAAGTTACCTCTTTTCTCTGTTTGACCCCACAAAATTTGTAGAGTTTAATATCTCTGAAACTACAGACCCTCCACAAAGTTTGATTGAAATTGCCCAGAGATGAAAAGTCATTCTGGTGCTTAACTCACAGGTGAGCAGACCCAGAATATGATTACATGTATATTCTCATAAACCCAATACATTTTAATAAATCAGGTTATGAAGTCTTAGGAAAGATAAGTGTTGGCAACACCCTCAACCCACTTAAAAGTGGAAAAGAGTAATAGAAAGACATCTCTTCATAAAATTACTGGCTGTTAAAGTAATGGGTCTACATTTGAGTGTCCTTCTCTCAGTAATGATTCTGCCTGGTAACAAACACTGTTGTCACAGCAGCAAAATACTGCACTGCGTGAAAGAGCACATTTCTCTTGTGAGAGAGCCCACTGTAGCACCCAAATGAGTATGCTTGTCAGGAAACAATGAAGGAATACTTATGGTTTTGAGGTTCTCCAAGAACAGCAAGGAAAGACACTTCATACCTTTCTGTATAGTTTGGCATTGGCCTGTAATAAAGAGGAAAAGAAAAATCATTACAAGGTAGGTATACATGGTTCCTCCTTTGTGATAGGAATTGTCTGATCTGGTATCTGCTGCAGTTCAGACTGAGCCATACCAGCCATTCCAGTTACAAGCACATATTCCCAGCAGGCACATATCACAGAATCACAGAACAGGCTGAGTTGAGAAACCCCATTGCCCCTCATCCACACACATTTAGGTGCCTAGGAAATTTCACTAATCAAAACCTAGGTGTTTTTTAATCTGCTTAGTCTGCAATTCCATATGAGTCCTTCTGTACATATCAAGATGTTTTATCAATCTTCTCTAAAAGATCATTTTGTCCCATATAATGCTGTGGATACCTTTCCTCTAAAGCAATTCAGCCTTTGGTAGATATGAGGGGACTTTATTCCTTCCTCATTCTACTTCATTTTATCTGCAGCAGTTGGGTTTTATCACACTTTTAATAATATCTTAAAGCTAATTATTTCCCTCCCCAACTACTCTCACAGGAAAGCTTTTCCAAAAGATCACTCTTCTAATGGCTAGAAATTGCCTTTTAATTTCCTGTGTAAAAGTATTTGTGGCCAGTTTATATCCATTGTTGTTGTGCCAGCATTGTCCTTTAGCTTAAGTAGCTCTCTGCATTCCCTGGTGCATTCCTTCACACTGTGTTTGCAAAGAGACAACAGATCTCTGCTTTCCGTTTACTAGGTCAAATAAATTATGCTCTCTTGATTTTGGAGCATGGTTTGATGACCCAGGAATTGCCTCTTTTGCTCCTGTAGCCAGTAATTCTATACTGTCCTTCTCCAATATTGGGAACTATAGAAACATATTTCTGCCAAGGTATTGGAGTTGGTTTCAGTGCCTCACAGGAGCTAAATCACTCTGTGCAAGCCTGAACACCACCAGGTTCACCTTTCTCATGATGTACTGGGGATCTCTTCTATTGCTATTTCTTCTTGCTCTCACTGGGGGAACAGGCATCCCAGCTTCTTGCTCGGTAAATTGAGCATTTATCCTCACAAGACCAAATTCATTATATTATCCTTTTTTCCTGCTAAAGAGTTTAAACTTCTACTCCTGGCATATTTGTTTAAACATAATGATCTGCATATGTGTTGCTAATGAGTTGATCATTCTTTAGCCAAAATAAAGTCATTGTAATGAGAACCAAATTAACCCTGGGATTTTATCTTGGAGGGAGACATTTAATTGGAAATCAGTCTAGTTCTATATTATGGATTGTAATTGAGGCACATTACCTCATAAAATAAATGAGGCATCAGAACTAGCAGAAGTAGTCCATCCCCAACACCAACAAGTTGTGTTAAGCAGCAAACTAGAAAAAATTATATCCATACAAATTCCTTTCCCAGCCCAGTACATTACGATAATTGCATTAAATAATACCTGGTTCATCAACACTGATGTATGCATTATAAGATTTCATTGTTCCCCCCAGCTAGGCACAATCCCCTCTGTGAGTGAGTTATTAAGGTCAAGGCATTTCTAAAAAAGCTTCATCTCAGCCAGATACTGCATGCAGTGCTACATCTGGGGATAATCAAGAAATAGCATTTTGTACAATGCCAGCTGGGAGAGAGAAAGAAATGAGCTCTTGTTAGTAAGAGCTCCAGCAATTAATCCTGCTGATAAAATTGGATGTTACTGCCCCTTGAATCTGGATAGTCTTATATACTAACATCATCACACTCACATTTGAGAGACCTTGGACATAAGTCTGGAGTCAGCCAAATGTTCCTTACAGAGGGGAAAATGTAATGTGGAGAGGACTGACTTGAGTTTAGCCACGTCCCAAGGAGAGAGTGACACTATCTTTGTTTATCACCAGGGTCATTAGCAATGAATCCCCTTTGTTATCTTGAGGGGTGGATGAATTGGTTGACACCTATTTTTCCCTCTTCTGAGCAGAAAATTAGTGTATTGTAGCTATTATTTTAGACTAGAGGGTTGTATGTGCTGGGCACAGCTCTTTGTGGGGTATTTGGGGAGTGTGAATGGTCTTTCCACAACTGCTCATATTTCCTCAAAGGTAAGAGGCATTTCCCCCTCTGCTAGTTCCAGGACCAAGCTACAAATGTCCTTTTAGTTTCTTTCTCTGGCATGCAATGATCAAATAATGAAACTGAGGCACACACAGTCTCCCCAAACACTTTTGCTGTGCAGGAGTGCTATTAGCCATCAGTCACTTTGGGGTGTGGCACAGGCCTGTTCTCAGTGGCATCTCAGAATTCTGCTTATTCAGCTGGAGCAAAAAGGTATTCTGGCAACACACTGGAGCAAGCAGAGGAAACCAAAGGGAAAATGCAGCAGGCAGGGTCTGGACATGGTGCTGCCTCTCCCTTCCCACTGGAGCAAGCAGAGGAAACCAAAGGGAAAATGCAGCAGGCAGGGTCTGGACTTGCTCTCTCCCTGCTCCAGCTCCCTGAGCAGCAGCAGACTTGCTGCCTTTAGCAGATGCCTCTTTCTGCCCAGCTGGCCAGAAGGAGAGGCATCAAAAAGCAATGGATAGCTGATGGAAGAGATGTGAAATTCCACTGATTCGCTGTCCCAGGGTTCACCTGAGGACTGGCTCCTTTTGTGAGCAGGAGGAGATGTTAGCATAGGAGAGAGAAAGACAGCTCTGGTTTCAGACTGTGCTACATGTCATCCACACTGATATTTTTACCATATCTATACAGGGAAAGGAAATCTATTAAGCAATATGGCCCGTGATCATTAACAAAGATGCTGACTGAAGAGGATAAATCTATTTTTTAGATGAGGAACCAAATCCATATAAATCTTTTCCATTTTTAACTTAAATGATTCATCCCAGTATGTAATAAGCAGAGGTAATTCTGCAACACCCCTGCTTAGTAGGTAAAGCTTTTCCACTACCTGTGATCCAGGATGCCCCTTACAAACTCAAAGCTACTAAGACTCACTCACTGATTAGCAAAAGCAGCTCCTTGCTGCTGGGTCCTAAACCTGGATCTAAACCTAAATCTATAGCTAAGCTAAAATTAGAGTTAAGCATTACATTTTTGCAGCATACTGTGACATTTTCTCTCTGTCTCTCCTTACTAGAGATATCTATGCAACTTCTTCTGGCCACCTCTCCCCAGCATGCAAGCTGCTGTATGACCCATGTATCAGCCACAGCTCCGTCTTGTAAACACCCAGGACTGAAACAGCTTGAGATTTCAGGTCGTCAGGAGTCAGTACACATAAAATCAAGAGAGAAAAGGTCTGGTTTATACCAAACCTTGCTTTATAGCCAGCCTTAAATGTATGTGTGCTGATGTGGTGTTTTGACTTTCCCAACGTTTCCTAACACCAATGCTTACATATGTTTTGGAGGGTGCAGCTCTGCAGGGGCCAAGGATAATTCTGCAGGATGTGTGCTTACATAAATAAGTGTGGATACACGTAGCTGGGCCAGAGCCTGCCTGCCTGAAGAGCCAGCAGCAGGAAGCTCTCCAAGGCCAGCTCCCAGGCTGCAGCTGTATGGTCTGTTCCTGCAACCTTGTACCACTGGCCTGGGTCTCTGCACATAGAAATCACCAGAAAATCCCCATCCCTGCCCATGACAGCTCATTTTCTCTAAGCCCTGGCAATGCCAGAAGAGTTCAGCCACTCCCTTCCTCATTTTCTTAAGAGAAATGACAGGGGCTGATATACAAAGAGTTTCTCAGGTCTCCCAATTCGCTTGGCAGGCTTCAATTGCTGCTTCTTCTGTGCTTGAAAGAACCTAAAATTTTTCAATATTTTTGTGTAAAGGCTTCCCTGGGTTCAAAGGAAGACAGTGTCACCTCCTCTCAAAGTCCCATCCACCGACAGGTTGGTACAGAGGGACCTTTTTCTTCCTGACCCAGAATAGCCTTTTCAATTTTTTTATATTTATTTTTGTACTCTAACTATTCCACCAGAGCTACAAAAGTCCTTTCAGTAGCACAGCTTCTATTTAAGATTATGGATAAAATAACTTATTGAAGAGGAGAAAAGCCATTTCAAGCTTTCTGAGCTCTCTCTATAAAATACGCTTCTGGTTTTAATTTGCAAAGGCAAGCTTGAAAATCTACAATGCAGCACATACATATTTTACTGCCAAGCTTACATTTTTTCCCCTTGATGATTCAGCACCAAAGGAAGCAAGCTGCTGTGATTAACCCTAACCCAGACAACAGAGCTCAACAGCTACTTCTAGTACCATGGGCTGGCCAGTTGCCTTTTCAAGAGCAAAGCCAACAGGACACTGGTGAGATTGATGATCTGGAATAAGCCCAGGGGCAAGTTTTAAATCTGCAATATCTAAGCCATTCAGTGAGGCAGAGGGGTAGGGGATGTGCTGGTCAGTACAGATCAAAATAAATGAGGTAATTTATATTGTAAAGACCAGCATACTCCCTCCCAGCTTTCTGGGCTTCTTACAAAACTTTTTTAAACTAGAAGAACATATGTATTCATTTTAGCCTGTTTATAGTGAAAGCCCCAACTTTTCCAAAAAAAGCATTTCAGTTCCTTATCACATTCTATTACTCTCCTGGAATGTTTCTCATGTTTCATCAAGTCAGTCTTTCAGTGATATTCTGCCTTTGTCACTAAAGAGACAACACTTAGTATCAGTAGCAAGACACAAAAACTGGAAAAGCACCTTCAAGTGGCAAAACATAACCTTCTGGAGTAGCTCTTAGCTACAGCAAAAGGACAAGGGCAGGATAAGATCCATTATATAACACCTAAATGGATCAGAATCATCAGGAGGAGAGTGTAGGAGGAGTGGAGATGTAAAGGGGACTAGTGGCAGAGTAATGAGAGAGCTGAGTAGCTCAGGCAGGGGGAGAATGGTTGAGCCAAAAGGCTAAAAAAGAAGGCAGCCACACACCCAAGGCACACATGCAGAGGCAGAAGTGGAGAAGGTTCCCAGCCACAGAGAAGAAATTCCAGGAAAACTGGAGGAGAGAGGAGTGCTTGCAATAAGCAGCCACGTGGT